TCAATTTTAATATAATCTGATTAAAATTAGGGAAAAAACCTTTTGGAGAAGCAAGTGCTGGGAAAGCACTGCCTCGTATGTTTACTATTATTGTAATGTACTCTGCTACACAAAGCAAGAGCTGGAGCATTTGGCATGAGCCGCTCATTACATGCAAGGAACAAATTCAGTTCCTCAGGACACAAAAGCACATTGATGGATATTTGATTTTACTCTGCAGAAACTGAAAACAAGTAGAGTTTTAGCTTCATGAGCTTTCCAAAGACAGTTAACATTTTGATTTTTAAAGGGAAAAGAGAAACAAGTACCTTGGAAAGTTCCTCAGCACCCTATTTTACAGAGTACAAATAACAACACAAAAGATTGTTAGCATAAGCTAGATATTGAGATACTCTAGATATTGAAAACTTAGAACTGGAGTTAAAATTTCTTTCTTTCTTTTTTCTTTTTTTTTTTTTTTTTGTGGAACTGGGGATTGAACTCAGGCCTTTGCGCTTGCCAGGGAAACGCTTATTCTGCTGAGCCATCTCCCCGGCCCCTAAAATTTTTTCTAATGTAAAAGACGTTACTTATACCTTACAGCCATAAACAGAACAGGAAAGCTAATATTCAGTCTTATACAACAGACAATTTCTTTTCTAAATAGTATCTATCTTTTGCCAGGGAAATATTTCAGATTTAAACACAACTGGAATTAGATCACACTCTGTTGCAAAGTAATATAAAGAGACACATAGGATTTTTGCTAGTAATTATCTATAAATTATTCTAAGTAAACACAGATTTGGAAGGAAGAACCAAAAAGGAAAAAAAAGGGGTGTGGGGGGGCTGGAACTACGTAAACAAGTCTATTCATTTCTAAATGGAAGAAGATATCCAATACCCTGCTTCCATTTTCATGATTAGATGTTTTGTATACCACTCACTGGTCCTCAAAAGATGGGGAGATGATGAATCAGGTCAGGTTCATGAATTTGGGACAGTGCAGAAATTAGCACATTTAAAGTGGAAGAAAGTGGTCAGAGAGTTCCAGGTCAAAGGCTTTGTGTAGGTGTTGACCCAAAAGCATCATGGTCCAATCTACACTTGCAAGATTTAGGGCCGGGGAGATGGCTCAGTGGAATAAGCGCTTCACTGGCAAGCACAAAGGCCTGAGTTCAATCCCCGGTTCCGCAAAAAAAAAATAAAATAAACTAAATAAATAAACTTGCAAGATTTCACTCTAGGCATTTCTTGAAGAAAAGACCCTTCTTAGGCAGGACAAATGCAGGATCAGTAGCACTCCAGCTATTTCCTCACATACAGGGGAGGATTAGAAAGCAAACAGTTGTGAAGCCTACGGTACCCATAGAGAGAGAAATGTGGTGATGCCAACCACAGAGAGAATTCTTCACAGCCAAATGGCTTGAAGACCCAAGCTCACTGTGTAGTTCTTATTTATTTACTTAATTTGCCCCAAACTATAATTTCCTTCAATGTTTCTCTGCCAAAATTGTGACATCAGTCTTCTTTTACTCCACCTATGCACTTCAAGAAAGGCCTCACTGGTACGTGCGGGGCACACTTCCTGTTCATCTACGACTGCTACCAATTTCAGCGGGTATGATTCACCAGGCCTTATCACGCTAAAGCCAGCAGAGTTCCCAAGTCAAAAGGGCAACCAAAAGTGCAGTAGCTCAAGGGGGTAAATACTGCCCCTCTACTGCTTAGCTGCTACAAGATCTGATATCTCATTAAACATCTCTGTGGCTCAAATCTGTATCCCTTGGGGCCAGGGATATAATATAGCTCAGTGGCACAGCGCTTGCCTGGTAAGCATGAAGTCAGGAGTTTGAATCCCAGTACAAAAAAAAATCTGTACCACTGCTCAAGATATTTTCCTAATTAGTTTTTCTCCTTTCAACTGGACAGCTTCCCTTCATGTTCCACAGTCACTCAAACTTATCATGCCCCAAACAGAGTTCCTTACCTACAGTCAGCGGTGGAGGCAAACTAATCTCTTTCTTCTTTACAACAGTGCCCGTGACAGTCCATTCTAAGTATCTTTTGAGTCTTCCCACTTTAGGCCACCAACTAGGTTCCCACAAGCGCCAGTGTTGTTGCTTCAACTGCCTCAAATGTCTCTTCATTTTTACCTTCCCTCTCATGCAGACACGTACCATTCTTTCAAATTCCACCACATGGGGGGGCATGTAATTGTTAATATATTTTCACATTAGTAATAGTGAAATTCTCCAGGAAACAGCGAAAAATTCCTCAGCCCTGTAATGGCTTTTACCATTGTTCTCTTCCTCACCTTGGTAACCGAAGCGCTCTGTTGCAAGATGCCTCTGCACACACCCTGCCCCACCAGTCACCATCAGCCCCAGAGACCAATATCCATCCACAAGACAGAAATGCTCTGGAACTTAGAAGCCTTGCAGTATAGGAGGCTCCTTACACGTTGACTGAAATGAACAATTTCTTATACAGAAGACAAGAATTTGGTAGGACCAGCTGAGCATGGTAGTGCACACCTATAATTCCAGCACTGAGGATGATTGTTGTGAGCTTAATCAAGTCCAGCCTGGGCTACATAGTGAGTTCAAGGCCAGACTAAATTTCATAGTGAGACCATCTCCAAAAAAACCCAAGAATTTGGTAAGACCATACCATGCTGATAAAGACACACACACACACACACACACACACACACACACACACAGATGAGCATGACCTTTGGCTCTGTTGTCTGTTTTCAAATCTCTACTTGCATAAAAAGGACCTTGATGTGTTATTTATTCGTAAAGAGCAAAGAATCTGAGCCACTACAAAACCACACTACTCACCCAATGTCAGAAACATTCTGATTGCACCCTACACTAAATATACCAGCACTGACAGCTTCAACTTTTCCTCATGTACAAGAAAACAATGAAGATATCTCTTCTAATGATGCATTTAACAAGCTCTTCCTAATCAGTAATATGTAGTTAAATTCAGATACCGGGCAAGTGTTTTATTTAAGATTTTATTTACATTTTCTTGGGACTATAGTCTCATGTACAACATAAGAAACACTGATCACTTAAAGTCATTCTTTAAGTTCAACATATAGATATTACATGATGAAATACATTCTGCAGTTAGGAGTATTTTGAATTAAAAAAAACTATGCAATGCTGCATCAAATTATATAAAATAAAATTTTGTAGTTTAGGTTATTAAAGTACAAGATTATTAAAGCCAAACATGGTGTTACATGCCTGTAATCCCAACACCTAGGAGTCTGAGGCAGAAGGATCACTGTGAGTTCAAGGCCAATCAAGGCTATAAAGTGAGTCCAAGGACAACGTGAACTACATAGCAAGAACCTGTCTCAAAAAGACAAAAAAAAAAAAAAAAAAAAAAAAAGCCACCCAGATTATTAAGTAGAAGTTGAACTGTTTTAATTGAAATGTAAGACATCAAGTATTACATATGGTGGACATGGCATGAGAGTGCAAGCCTGTAATCCCAGCGTTGGGAGGCTGAGGCAGGAGAACACTGTCATTCAAGACTAGTCTGAACTACACAGTTGAGATAAGGAGTCCTTATCTCAAAAAATAGTATTACATAAGTAGCTATCAATGGCTATCCACAATACCTGACAAACATACAACACTGGCTTATGCATTTACTACATTATGCTTTTTATTATTTTTAAAGTGTATGTCTACTTATAAAAACATTTACCATAACATAGTATATATACTGTGTTATCCTGGCAGTCTCAATATCATGCTTACTATGTGTCTGCACAGCATTATTTTGGTCTACCCTTGCTTTAATTTCATGTGATCTTGTTCATCATGGCCTTAGAAGCAACAGGCTGCATCATTTCTATGTCTACTTTAGCCTAGGTGTACAGTAGGCTACATCATCTAGGTTTGTACAAGGATACTCACGTGTGCTCACCCTGCAGCCTCCAGCCTGCCTATCCTCTTTTTTTTAAAAAAACGTAATAACTTATATAATAAAAAATAAAGGAAGATTTTTGCTTATGCACACTAACCATTTTATATGTGGTCCAAGATAATTTCTCTTCCTTCAGTGTGGGCTGACAGGCCAAGAAGTTGGGCGTGCCTACAAGGTGTTCCCACAGCAATGAAATCTCCCCCACAATGACACATTTCTCTGAAATTATCCTTTTTCTTAAGTGATGCATGAGTATATATCTATGCCTTTGTTTTTTATCTTATAACTTCAAGACACTATGTTCACTGAGAATAGTGTACTTTGTAAGCTTAGCATAAATGTTAAGTATTCTGTACAAAATAACTAAAATAATGATTGAATAAATGAATAAGTGCTTCCTTTAAAGCTTAAGGGAGCACCTTGACTTCTAATATTCTGGAATGTAGTGATTTTAGTTATGTTCATCATGTCTACTTGCTTTACGATTTTGTCAACATTTTACTTAAAATATGTCTATCAGCTTCCATCTTTAAAAAAAAAATCTTTTATTTACCTGGTACAGGGTCTCGCTATGAAGTTTGGACTCATAGTGATTCCCCCATCTCAGCCTCCCTGGTGCTGGGGTCACAGGCGTGTACCACCATGGCTGCTTTCAGTGGCTGGTGTAGCGCACCCAGGGTTCTGAGGCCAGCTTGCCATGTGGTACTGGGAATCGAACTTAGGTCCTTGCACTTGCCAGACAGGCACTTAGACCACCAAGCTATGTCCCAACTCTCAGCTTCTATCTTTTTGGGCAGAAGAAACACTAACACTTTTCTCCACTTTTTGTTAAGTTACGTGATTGGCTAAGCTGAACTTTCACATCAGCACTGCTGATTTTATGAAAGCAAATGCTATCTTTGCAGCAAGTATAAGAAAAGGTCCTCTTTCCTTTATTTAACATTAACATTTATCTCAAATTTAATTCATTTCTACATCATAGGGAAGTAACAACATTAACATTTACTGACTATATGCAGCTATTATGCTCTACATGGTTCTTATTTACATGGAAAAGCACTTACTTTTTGCTTGCTTCACAGACATCTGTAATGTTGGAGAAAAGATGGTGTCTCTCAGTTTTAGTCATTGTATCACTCAGTTCTTTGGAATTTTTAAACATTCGAATCAAGATCTCTAAGCTCAGTAAGTATGAATGCTCAGATGAAATGACTTCAAAGATTGCCTGGTAAGAAGGAGAAACAAATAAATTGCTGATTATTTTCATTGAAGAATTATTAGCGCTCTCATTGTTCTGCTATAAGAATGACATATCTTGAGAAGTACAAAAACAGGTAAGAATTAAGAAACATGTATCATTAAAATACTGTTTTTATATAAGGCTCATATATCCAAATTTCAAAAAAGAGATTTGTTACTTTCTGTATATTGAAAAGGAAAGAATCTGGATGACGCTGCCTCCTAAGGTCATGCCTTTGCCACAGGGCAGAATCAATGGAGGGAAAGCTGGGCATGTCATAAAATCTCAGTGTGATGTTAATTAACCTTCAGGGTCATCTCCTCCAGCCCTGCATTCAAAGCCCGCTGCTTCCAGGGACAGTAAGAATTTATGGTTGTCACTTGGGATCCAGAGAAAATTTCCACAAATACCTTCCTTTGCTCTCCTTTTATATGTGTTCTTTTTCTCTCTTCATCTTTCAATCTGACTAATGCACAGTCAGTAATAAATATTCTGGCATGAATTCTACTTGCAAAAAGTTCTTATGAGTCACAGGAATTCTTTTATGTAAACTCATACAATTGGAAATAATTCTGGCCATTCAACAAGCCACCTCTCTACTCTTGCTAGTGTCTCAAGAAGGAGAAAAGGGCCCTCCACACAGACTCTTGGTGTCAGGCACACTGTGGTTTTCCTGGTAAGTGGGAAAGATGACAATGCCAATACACTGTGTAAAGATTCCATCCAGGTCTTTAGAAAATCAAATTCAGATCTAAAAGTGGTGATGTGGGGAGAATTCCTCCTCAGGGAGGGGTGGCAAACATCTATCCTGGTGAGCTCCTTCGTAGCCATACATTCATCACTCTGACTACAGGGTCATCTGCACTGAAAGTCTCTCCCCAAAAGCACAGAGGGGACCAGGATGCCTGGAATAGGACAGGCACAGGCAGGTGTAGGTCCAATTGCTAAGAAGTGGGTCATGTTTTGTCAATCAGGTTAGCATCAATAATCTGTGTTTCAGTTTAGCATCCGTAAGGTATTACAGACCTAGGTCTGTCTTAGAGGTGATGGTTTAGCTTCAGGTGTGCTCCAGGAAATTAAATTACATAACTTTCGGAAGAATACAGAGTAAGGTCATTAAGAGTCTCATTTAACGTGTACCTTGTATAAGTCTATTCATTCAACAGAATTATCTGCCCAAAATATAAGTCAGGTTAAGGAAAACCCTGGACCTTAGCCAAACATAATGGGTTTCACATCATTGATAGAAATATGGCCTTAGTATGACTTCAGATGTTTTCAACAGCAAAGAATATTTTAAATCAAATACAAAATACAAAGATTTAGGCAAAAAATAATAAACTATATAGAGTCAATCACACAAGATAAATAAGTGGTAATTTAAATTTAATGTAGCAATTGTTAAAGCATCTTGCAATACAATATCTAAAAAGCAAGTCAGATTGTCTTGATAAAAACAGCTATATAATAGAAACTATAAAGTTAAACTTGAGGTTGTCATTCACTTTAGCTTGCTATATACAAATCTGCATAAATACTATCAGAATATAAAAGAAATAGGCAAGGTTCTTCTTGTCATGACATACCAATTATTACCACACTGTTTTACAAGTAAAAGTTTTTGTTTTTTTTTAAATGGGTAATAAATGAAAAAAAGACAAAAGAAAAATAAAAAAAAAATGTCACGGGACTGTCCTGCTACAATGCTGTATATGGTTAGATTTCTAAACTTCTGTGTAAAAATATGTAATTGTTTATTCATATTCATCAAATATTTTCATTTTTTTTTAATTTTTATCTCCATGTTCTGTAGGGACTTAATGTTTAATACATGAATACTTGATGGAAAATATCTGTTCCAGGTTATGCCTAAGATGTTTGATATTCAGACAGATGGGAAGTTAAACCCAACTGCATAAGACGTAGGGTAATAATAAGCTTCTCTTCTGAGAGTTAACAACCTAAGTTTGCAGACCAAAAATTAGAGAAATATAAGGGCTGCAAGGACAGTCAACATTCTGACCACAGCCTTTCAAGATCAGTGAAGACTCAGGACAAAGGAGAACCTATACTGTAATATCATGTAACTCAGTTGTGCCCCAAATTTTCTGATCAAGGAGATTATGGGGCCACAGAGCAATGTGATCAGTGACATAGAGTGTGCCTAAGGAGAGTCGCATGGAGAGAAAACATTCTCTCAGGCTTTCACAGAGAGCAAATGGTCAAGCAATGGCTGTGACTCATCCACATGG